TTCCTCCCAGGCTTTTGGTGTGTGTGTGTGTTTGTGCATGCATGTGCACGCACACACGCACGTGCATGCACGTGTGAGTGTTTTGCAAAGCTGTAACTGTACTCTATATTCTATTTGAATTTAGCTCCAGAGCCGAAGCACTTTCCCACATTATGGCAAATTCTATAAACATCCTTGCTTGGCTACCTGATGTTCTATCAAGACGGAGGCCCCCTGGATGACTCCACCACCATCCCCCGGGGAACTAGGCGGAAGGCCCTGGCCTTGACAGTGACAGAACTGGACTGTTCACACTACATGCCCCATACCTGCCAGGGTGGTGCCTCTTTGGAGGCCATTTTGCTTGAACAACCCAGGTTGCCATGTCGACAGTAAACAAAAAACATGTTTGCTTTGCAGAGCGCCAGGAGGAGTGAGGTTTGGAAAACTGAGCTGCTATCCCCCTCCGAAGCTGCCTTGGGCAACATGAACCCCACAGAGCCTGCTTTCGGTTACCTAGGACGGTGGGCAACCAAGAGATACATCTGGTCCATAACTGGTCATTCGACCAAGTTCGGGGAATGGGAAGTGCAATCAGACAGTCCCCAGCCTTTCAGGAAGCGGCTGACTCAGACAGAGGATGACAGATGCATGCAGAGGTCTGCTCTGAGCCCCAGGGATGCACAAGAGCTAGCCGGGCAGGGTGTCTTAAAACCACATCCCGAGGGGGCCAGAACAATCACTTGAACAGACCAGACCGAGACACCAAGTTTAAAGAGGTTTCAGGCAGAGGCGTGAAAAGGGAAACCTATTCCAGGAACAGGGAGAGGTGTGGGGTGAACAGAGCCCAGGAGGGTCCCTGGGGACCAGGAGTGCACCCATCCTCGGTGACGATTTTGAACTATGCCTTGTAGAAATTTTAAGGAGGGGCGATTTATTGATTTGTTTGTTTGGGAGAGGGGAGGTTACCTGGCTGTTTTGCTTTATTTTTCTTCCTAAAGTCTTTTTCTGCACACAAGTAATACATAGGTGTAGTTTAAAAGTCCCGGATGTTTAAAAATAGGTAGAATGTAGATAAAGTCCCCCATAACGGCACCCTCTCCCCCAGAGAGAATCACTATTAACTATTGTGTACAAATTCCTCCATACAAGTTTTTGCTATGTAAATACTAAGACGTGTAGATATATATATATATATATTTTTAAGATTTTATTTATTTATTTGAGACAGAGAGAATGAGATAGAGAGAGCATGAGAGGGAGGAGGGTCAGAGGGAGAAGCAGACTCCC